AGCCCTCCTCAGTGACAATCTTGATGATGGTATTTATGTTACGGCGACGTTTGATAGTAGCATGAAATATTTGGTGTTTCTGTCACCATTCTTGAAATGATTATCACAAGCTTTCTGTTTAAGGAAATTCTCCTCAATAGAAATTTCCTCTAAAAGAGTGTGATGAGCATCCGCTAGTTTAGACATGAGATCGGGAGTAGCAATCACCTAAACTTCTAAAGAATCCAGCTCCTGTTGGGCCTTTAGAGCCCTAGAGTGAACATTACCAAAAGAGTTAATGTTCCATCTCCTTAATTGGAATGAAAAGCTAAAGTAAACAAAATAGGATTGTGATCCGAAGCAGCATGATTCAAATGTTTGACTTGTATAATATTGTAGTAGCTCAAAAACTGAGAGTTTCCCAAAAATCTGTCCAAACGTTGCATAAGAAAACCTCTCCGCCAAGCATAAGGAGGGCCAGAAAAACCTAAGTCATAAAGGCCAGCTTCCGCAATGTATTCACAAAAATGATTTATAAGACTTGTGTCAACCTTAGCACCACCCTATCTCTCTGTAGGCGACATAATCATATTTAAATCACCTCTAACGAACCAATTATCAGTAATGACAGCCCCCATATGAGTAAGTTGTTGCCAGAGAAAAAATTTATCCCTTAAAAGAGAGCTAGCATAAATAAATGTAGCCCAACCAGAAAACATTTTAAATTGATTTTGAATGAGAACATATTGCACATTGTCATCAATGATATTAACAGTGATATCCTTTTGCCAAAATAACCAAATTTTGTTGTTCACATTGCAGAAATGCAAATAACCCTTGAGCTTCTTAATGATGTTTTCTTTATGAATCAAAATAAGAGGCTCCAAAAGAACAAGAATATCAGGTTTATGGACCCTACATAAATATTTAAAAAATTAAAGGAGTGGGTCCGCCACTCCTCTAATGTTCCACACCAAAACATTAAACATTATGGCCCATGATACCCTTCCACCTAGCAATCCTAGAGGGTAGGTGCAAGTGCTCATCTTCTGAGTGATAAGTGACATCAATAATATTTGGTTGTGTCAATTTTGGAAGTTCAGATTTCATTCTACCTTGTTTTCTGCTATATCTCTGAATTTGCCATTCAGATTCTAAGGCAGAAACAACTAATGGTGATGGGTCTTGTTGTGAAGAAGTAACCCCAGTAGTTGAAGACTGAGCGGGATCAAGAGTTTAAGTTTGATTGGGTGATACAGTAAGTATGTGAGTGGAGTGCTCGGTTTGAAGTTCAGGGAAAACAGAGGGTTCAGCAAAATTACCAATTTGTAACATCCACCGAAAAAGGCACATGAGCCACCTCAGCTTCCACACTAACATGAGGAGGCACTCCGGTAGCATCTAAAGAGGGAGTAGACAAATCATTCAAACCCCCTACAGCCGCAACATCCACGGTTTGAGGGTCAACCGAAATCATGACAGCACTAGCAATCTGCATGGGAGGAAGTAGGAAGAGAAGATTGCTGCTCACCAGGGGGCGGTCGAGTGGTAGGGAACTTCTTTAATTCAGGATGGAAATGAAAACAATGATCAGAATCATGACCAAACATGCTGCAATGCATACAATAATATGGATGCTGTTCAAGCAAAACCGATTGCCAGTAACCAATGTGACTAGTGCCTATCCAAATCTCCTTCGGAGGAGGAAGGTGACATCCCTTTCTATTAATATTCTAGCAACCGAGGGCCTTGCTAGATTGAAAGTATGAGCATCAAGCATTAAAGACTTTCCGTACATGGCAACAATTGAGAATAAAATTTCATGATTGAACAGATGTACTTTCAGACAAGGAAGTTTAAGCCAAACAGGAATAATAGAAAGCTTGGTTTTGGGGTCAAACTCGGTTGTCCATTTAAGGATCTTCATCCAAACATCACCAAAATGGACAGTTCTACGGGCGAAAAGCTTAGCGTAATCATCTTCATTAGAAAGTTGTATCAGAATATGTCGGCTATCTAAAGCCCCGATCTTCCACACTACTGATAATTTCAACAACTCAAAGTTCTTCATAAAAAAATCATACTTCGGGAGACCATAAAAGAATTTACCAACTAAATAAAAATGACGAGCAGAGGCGAGAATAGTATTCTCAGAGTTGGAGAGAAAAAGCGCATTTTTTGCCCCCCTTACGACCTTGAGATTTAATGAAACTATATTCACATTCAAGAACAAGCGATTCATAAAAAGAAGAAGGGAAGACAAACTTCGGAGGAGACCCAGATGAAGAAATCCCCGCAGTGACCCCAGCGTAATTTTTAGCCATGACCGTAAAGAGAAGGAAAGGACGAGAGATGAAAAACGAAAGTGAGGGGAAAACCAAAATCGAAAAACCAGAAGGATCTCACCAGGGGGTGCCGTTGAGATCGTGTAGCCGTTAGCATCTTCGAGTCGCCACGAAATCGCTCGCAGCTCCAAACCCTAGCAAATATATATATATATATATATATATAAGAGTGACAAACTAGCTCTATTCTTCTTTGATGTTGAAGTTTCCAACCTGGTTAACAAGTGCAAATTTACCCTCACTGGGAAGTTCCAATCGGGACATCCTAAAGTGGAAATCGTTCGAAAGGGTTTTGAAGATCTCAAACTATTGGGACTTTGGAAGGTTGATCTTTTTGATGGGAGACATGTGATGATACTATTATCTAATTCTTGTTGAAAGAGATATCACTCTCCATGATGTGGACGAAATATGACTTGGTACTGCTCACAATGGGTATTAACAACCAATTGTTGCAGAATAAAGACTCTACTACTGCAATCACCATAAACTGTTTGAGCACCGAGCACACCCCTGTCAAATGCTTCAGGCTTCACCCACATTTGAAATCTGTAGGTCCTAACAACATCATACATGTGAAGGAAAATATATCAGCCACTGTTAATCTTCCAGAAATGTTGAATGAGAATTTGACTCATAAGGCTACTCCTCACAAACCAGATCAACAGCTTCCGCCTCCTGCTGTTAAGACAGCTCTTTCTCAGATCACAAATACTACGAGTTTTGTTCTAGTAGATGCTAGCTGAAGTGTCTTGGAACCACCTATTGCGAGAGAAGAGAATACGCAAGTTTATTCACAAGTTTTGGAGGAGTTTCAGGATCAAGGTGTGCTGTAGGCTAAGTCAAATTAGCAGTCTACGTCCATCGAAGATTCACCTATTGTTGAGGCGGGACTACCTCTGACAGATGATTGATAGGGTTACAAATCTAGGAAGAAGAAAAAATGAATGCCAGATCTCAGTAATTCTCAGAATTAATGTCTTATAGTTTTGGGCGGAAACCCACATCTCAGTATGCTGCTGGACTCCCTCCCTAGATCCAGTGGAAGGGGAAGCGGTATATCCACCGACTACACCCACCATGATAAGGAGTTGTTTTTTTTGTTAAGTTTTTGGGGATTACGTGTAGTTGTAATGCCTGTAAGTGGGCTCTTTGTACCCACTCACAAAAAACTTTGTATCCTTTCTTTTATATCAATGAATTTTGCCTTTTTTAAAAAAAATAAATTACACACACACACCAGAATTAATGTCTTATAGTTTTGGGCGGAAACCCACATCTCAGTATGCTGCTGGACTCCCTCCCTAGATCCAGTTCTCAGTATGCTGCTGGACTCCCTCCCAAGATCCAGTGGAAGGGGAAGCAGTATATCCACCGACTACACCCACCATAATAAGGTGTTGTTTTTTTTTTGTTAAGTTTTTGGGGATTACGTGTAGTTGTAATGCCTGTAAGTGGGCTCTTTGTACCCACTCACTAAAAACTTTGTATCCTTTCTTTTATATCAATGAATTTTGCCTTTTTTAAAAAAAATAAATTATACACACACACACACACACACATACAGTTTAAAATATTTTTATAAAAATAGCAAAATTATAAAAAAATATGTAATAAATAATAGAAATATTTTTACACGCACATATTGTTTATGAAAAAAAAAAGAGAATAAAATAGAATTTATGCATGTGTTTATTTGTATGTTTGGATTGTCTGGCCACACCTATTAAAAAAATTATTAATTATTATTTTTTAATAAAACATCCATAAACCTAATTTTTTCTCTCTTTTTCTAGCCTTTCTCTCGCAGGACTTCTCACTTAATTTTACTTGTTCCTCATTTCCATCACTCAAGAGTTTACGTGAATCATATATGCATCTTTCCATCTTTGTTGGTGTGATTAGTGATCTCTTGCGCACCTTTTTGGGAATGATGAAAAAAATTAATTGTTTTATTTTGTGATTTTATTTTGCAAGGAACTCTAGAATGTCCATGAAAACCTTTCCTTGCACGGTGTACTCAGAGATTTCATCTTGCTGACCCATGCAGAAGTTAACGCTACTTAGAACAAAAAATGGACCGTGGTGTCCTATAAGCCACATGCTCACCTTTTTGTTGCGATGAGAGGCATACCTGTCACAATTCTTAGTGCCCCTATGTGGAAATTTGTCTTAGAATCACTTGAATATAATAAAGCATGGATGGAATTTTCAGAGACCACAGTCATGTTAAAAGTTAAACAACAAGCATATTTACTTTTCCAGTGATTCATATTATACAACTAGCATTTTAATGATAATAGCTGTGGTGGTGCACTTGTCAGTGTATTTTCTGCAGTATCATATGCATTTGTCAGCATGATTCACGTTCGGAAAGTCATTATTTGGAGCACATGAGTTTATTGTCTTGCATTGCTATGTCTGTAGGACCCAACTTTAAAATAATTATTTCCTAGAAATTAGTTGCAATGAAAGGGAAATGTGACGTTCATAAAGCATTTAGTAACATTTGTTTTCAGTAATAGTACCTTGCCTTGCCATACAATTGTTGCAGGCTAAAGAATATATTGATAATTGCATCCTAGGTTTTTATTTTACGAGTTTTTGATCTAATATTTGGCACAATGAAAAGCTTATTCTTGATTTCATTATATGTTTTTGGGTTTTTGATGCCAGGTCGTGGAGGATTTGGCCATGTTGTATTGTGCAAAAACAAACTTGATGGGCGGCATTATGCTGTTAAAAAGATTCGACTCAAGGATAGAAATCCACATGTGAATGACAAAATTTTAAGGTATATTTGACTTGATTATAATTTTTTTCAGTTGTTTTTCATCATGAAGCACAAATGGATTTCATTCTAGGTTTCATTTTTCTCATCTGTGAAACATGCTTGCCGCAGTTCTGTTGTGATAGATCTGAATACAACCCATTTTTTAAATGTTGCACTCTTATTTTCATTTTGGCTTTCCCTCTTGGGTCAAGAAGTAACTGCTAACATGGTCAAATCTGTATAGGATAAAGGAATCTTGTTTTGTTTTTTGTTTTTTATTCTTTTTTGTTTTTTGTTCTTTTATCATTCCTTTGTTATTAGCACCGCTTCGTTATTGGTAAATGATCATTTTACACATAAATTAGAATTTAATTTTCCTCCAGAACTTATAAACACTGATTAATTTAAAGCGCCTGTGACCCTTCCCCCACATTTTTTTCTTATGATAGTGGAATTTTTATGTTATTCATGTGTTTTTTCTATTATCCTTATCTATCAATTGCATCGTGTCATCCTTCTATTGCAATCCTCTTGCGTCCCTTTGTCTTACCTGAGTTTCGTTTGGTGTTGTTATCTTTGTTGCTGATTTCTTTTTCCCATGCATTGTGGCTTCTCTTCCGAGAGCTGGGTGTTGCAGGCATCCATACTTCGTCCGTTCAACATTCCAGTCTCCGAGGGCTGGCCAGCTCCACTTGGGCCCTTATTTGCTTTACTTAGGATTGGTAATTAGGGTTTTTGCTGAGGACTTATAAATTTGTTACTTAGAACCTTGCCTTGCACCTTTGATTTATTTTATGTTGTTGGAGAACACTATTCCCTGTTTTCTCTCAGCTTGGAGTACTGTATCACCTTTTCTTTCAGGTAGTTGAGAACAATAATATGATTCAACATCAAAATCGACACGCTTTTCCAAAAAAATTAGGGCAAACCCATTATTTTTTAAAAAATTCAAACAACTACAATTCGAGAGATAGTCGATCTCTCCAAATTCCTGCAATTCTATAGGTAGAAAATCTCTCTCAAACCCTAAACCCAAGGCTCATAACCCAATATCATGCATGAAATCCATTACTAAACATAATAAAACTATTTATACCCAACAATAATAATAATAAAAGACTAAATTGTCCTTAGGCATAAAAAAGATAAATTGCCTTTAGGCTAGGCAGTGACGTAACATTAATCCCCCTCAAAAGACACCTTCTTCTCAGGATGGGAAAAAATGAGAGTGTTCCTTCTCCACCACAATTGTTTCTATTGCTACATCCTTGTCATGCACTATGAGAACTTGTAATTTTCAACCTTTAAAATAATGTCTTGGGTAAACTTCTTATCACACAGAAAACATATTTGATTTTCTAGATTCTCTGTCTCTGTATTGCTTTTGTGTGTCGCTCTCGGCAATGGCCTATTATTCCTGTCCCGTGCAACTTTCTTCTGGACTTCCACTGTTTGAGCTTTTAGTATCGTTGTGATTGTAGCTGTTAGGTACAATGGTCTATCTGTGCTGCTTCTGCTGGCTTTCTCCATTTGGTTCTTGTTCTCCACCATCTGGGCTAGCTCTATCATCTACCTCAATCTCCGTGGTCTTAATAGTCAGAGTGCTACATGTATGTCAGGCTTCAAACCCTTCATGAAATTCCCCTCTAATCCTGCTTCAGAAATCCCGCACAGTCTTCCCGACAATAGTTTTTCTCTCCTTATATTCCACGACTGTGCCCTCCTAAGTCAAGACATAGAATTGCTCGTGTAGGTATTCTTCTCAAATGACTCGAAAACGTTCCAACAACAATTATTAAATTCATCTCACTAACCGATCGAGTATCTGTCCTCTCTCCACCGAAACCATGCTAGGACTTTCCCCTCCATACCAATCCTATCGTCATGAGTCTCTCCTTTCTATTTAACCTATTCACAGCATAATATCGCTCGACCTGTTACACCCACTCATGTGCGTCATCCCCCTCAATGATTGACAGCTTAAACTTTCTAACCCCAACATCTCCACTCTAACTTCCTCTCTCCCCATTGTTTCCCTCCCATATATCAAGGGTAAATCTCATTCCTTCGATCGTGGCCATATCCTCTCCCCGCTTCTCTCCTTTCTTTTTTGTGCTCTACCATACTTCTTGCATAATCTTTTCTTCAAGTTTCAGGTCAACCGCCTCCATAAGAAATCTCTAATCCAGCCCTAATCGGAGCCTTGGGAGGGGTTCGTGATGGTGGATGTTTTCCTCATATTTCTCACATTCGATATATTTTTCTCTAGGTTTTGCAAATTGTCCCGCCTGCTGAGTCTTGGATTGCATCTCAATGGGCCTCTTTATCATCTCTCGAATTTCTCCCATGCGCTCGAATCGATCCTCAATTCGATTCTCTATGGAAGAAAACTTATTCTCTATAGTGGCAAACCCTTGTTTCATCCCAGGTTTGATTTGACTGATCTCTTCCTCTATTTTTTTTTTTCCAAATCATTTACTTTCTTGGGTGCCATTCACCTCAGAAAGGTTTTTTTATTTCAAAAGATGGAAGCACTTGTATGTTGAAAATTCGTAGATGATTTCTTAGATGGTCAAAATTGTGAAGTTTGATGCCACAAAATTGCGATCTTGCAAAAGAATCTCAAGAAATTGTGTTACACAGTTTAGCCACGAATGGAAAGAGGAGATCTCAACGTTGCTATTGACACTATAAGCCATAATCCTGTAGCACACAACGAAGTGAGGTGAGTTTTGGGTTTCCTTATACTGCAATTCTTCACGATTTGCTACAATTGTGATTGTTTTCTGAGTATTGTTACAGATCTCTGTTCGTTGTGATTTAGTAGATTCGTCGGTCTTCACAGAAGAAAGCAAGACGTGTTTCCTTCGTGGCCTTCCCCGCAAGTTGAAAGGCGCTAGATTCAGGTCTTGGTAAGCTGCGATCTTTCATGTTGCCTCTTTCACAACAAGCTCTAACCCCATGCAATCCCGTCGTTTCCTCCCCAGAAAGTTCTGAGCGTGATTGCATTGCAAGGTTTGTCATGAAGGAGTATTGGATATCGGTAAGCTGCGATCCTTCGCTTCGAATCCTTCTCAATGCCTTGCGATCTTGTGGTGGCCTCCTTGCTAGTGATTGCATCGCAGGATTCGCTCGCGAAGGGATCTCGTTGATGCTTCTCATCTATTTCTCACGCCAAAAATGACAGTTTCTCACACCGACAACAATTCCGTGGTGATTTCCCAAAGATCTGCTCTGATACCAATTTGATATGATCCAACATCAAAATCAACACGTTTTTCCACAGAAATTATGGCTAACGTAACATTTCTTCAGCAACTCAAACAACTCAACAAGAATACAAAGATATAAACCTAAAATTTGAGAGAGTCGATTTCTCCCGATTCCTATAATTTAAGAGATAAGAAATCTCTCCCAAAACTTAAACCTAAGACCCACAATTCAAACTCATGCATAAAACCCAACCCTAAACTTAATAATATTATTTTAACTCAACAATAATAATAATGAAAGACTAAATTGCAAATAGATGATGGTCGTTCTGAACATCTAATTACCTTTGAACGCCTTGACGATTCTCCTTCCTCTTGCTGTTTTCAATCAAGCTTAAGCTTGAACTTCTCCTAAACTTCACCATTTTAGATATTCTTCCATATATTCTCAATATACAACCGTCCTCTTCTTCCTTTGGTCATTACATCTATGAACCCCAAGATTTGTGTCATTTGGTATCAGAGCTCTAATCTCGATTTCCAGCACTTTGCCCTTCAAGTAAACCTCAAAATTTCAGCTAATCCTAAAACCTACGCCTCTAATGATACTGTCCTTGGGCTCCTAGACGGCTTGTTAGAACATCAAAATGAGTTAGAAAAGTTTTTGGTTGGGTAACAGAAGAGGAAGGATATGATGGCTGAAATCGTGGCATGGATGACAACTTGACAACAAATTAGAATGAAAAGTTACAATGTTTCTGCTGCAAACTGCAGTTTGCTACAAGTTGGACGACGAAGAATGCCTTCAAATGTTTGGGAGAGTGCATCACCTTGATCCGATCAGGTTCCATACACACCGCAAAATGAAATCCAAAGATACATCACTCCAATAGTGAAAACTCGAAGAAATCATCAAATAACATAAACATAGCCAAAGGTTTTGAAAATAGAAAAATAAAACATAGTTTGAAGGGAACATTAATTAGAGAAATTGAATTTGAAATATATCATAAAGGAAAAAAAAGCTAATATTTGAAATCAGGTGGCACTACGGCTCGACGCCCATACAGATCATGGGATTTAACTGCAACTCGTGATATCATACAACTTTTGCGATTTGATTGCAGTTTTCACAATTAGATGCTCCGTGTCATTCTCTCAGGCTTAGAGAGGCTTCTTCGTTGCAAGCTTCTGAAGTCGATCTATTACCATAACAAAGTCTTTGTGCTGTTGTGGTTGTGGGCTCCATTACAAAGTCTATGCTCACGTCCTCCCTGGACAATTCTGAAACACTTGTATCTTTTCACACAATTCTTCATCCATGATGTCAAAATTCGATAAATTCACATTGACACTAAGATCTTTACTTCTCTGAAATTCTATGTTAATTTGTTGGGGTATTGATTTTTCATCATTAGAAACTTTTCGATGGAAGGGATTCACTTCCTCCCCTTGATCTCACGTGTTACCATTATGGCGATGGGTGCCCTCACCAGATTGTCTCATTTGAAATATAATAAGTTTCTATTATAGTTGGAAGATTTCCCATAGCATATCTTCCATGGTACGTTTCTGGACACCTTATTAAGGGTTTCTCCTTGCTGGCATTATGTTTTTTTCTCCCGATTTGGTTTTCGATGGATGTAGGATTGCAAATCAAAGATTAGTTGGTGTTTTAGTTTTAACGGTGAGTGTTGGGGTGAATATTTAGTGAAGGTAGAGATATTGGAGTTTGAAAATTTTGGGTTATGGTTAGATGAATGATGTGAGGGATAATTGGTTGGATTATTTGGAATTTTGATTTGATTC